ACTTCCATCTTCAGCTCCCTCTGTGTAAAAATGAAGTTTATTTCCAACCTATGGGGACTTTTTACCATCTTGTACCATCTACACTTTTCCCAGAGCCCGACGAAGGGGCTTTGATTCCTGAAAGCTTGCAGAAAAGGACATTTTTCTTGCCATTTTTCAGTTGGTCTAATAAAAGGTATTATTTTGGAACCAAGAGTTCTAGTTTTTTGTAGGTGCTGAGAAAAGCTTTATGTTTCTAATTATAAATAGATAATCATATGGTTAATTACAAGTTATGGAATATAAGGTTCAGCGCCCTCACACTGCCCTACCGCAATGATTATTAAAGTAATGACTTGGAGCGTGAGGAAGTAAGTAGCCATTAAAATGGTTTAGATCGATTTCCTCTTCTGGCCTGATCCTGCCAAATGCTGAGCCCCTCCTGAATGCTGCAGATTGCTCCTAGTGCAAATCAGCACTAGGAGCAATCTGCAGCATTCAGGAGGGGCTCAGCAAACCCATCTGATTTGCATAGAAAAAGATATCCTCCCAAGCTAGTTAGGAACGCTGCTGTTTTCAAAGCTGTGAATTTAGCCTTAGAACTTAAGTACCTTTGTATTCAAAACTTTCTTCTATAGGTATAAAAGACTTAAATCATATGCTGTGTACTGTTACTGAGAGAGACTAGGGTATTATAGCAGGCAGCAAATTAAATGGGAATTGGCAATCTGATATAGCGGCAAGAAAGGTCTGTTTTGGACAACATAGGGAAGTGTTGTATTTGTGGGGGTGGGAGGAAGCAGACAATAATATCTGCTCTTTACAGCTGTGGTGCATCTGTGCTTGCAATATTACACTGTTATGCATGTACCTCACTACCAGCGAGATAGTCACAGATCAGAAGGTGCTCAGAGCAACAAGAAGATTGGGGGAATTGAAGGGAAGCGATGTATTAGAAAAAAATTAAAAAGGTTAAAGGTAGCATGGATAAACCATGACTAAAAGATGGAGGGGAAACAGGGCAGGATTTAAAAATCAGCAGGGTGTGCACACCAAGAAGCAAGAGGAATCCTTGACTGGTGCCCAAGGGGATACATAGGAGGACTGGGCTAGAATTTAGACAGGGAAGGGAACATTAAAACCATGTATTATGGGAAATAATCCTGCAATAAATCTAATGAGCAGGAGAGACTGTTCTTTTTCACTTTATTAAATATTTGCATTTTAATCTCTCCATTCAGTGCATTGCTCTTGTGATTTATGCACAGCTGGACAAGTCGTTTAGCTTCAAGGAGCCTGCATTTCTCTTAGGGTTCAACAAAAAATTCTGCATCCTAGAAAGAATCAATTAGCTTTCTTTTCTTTTAATTTTCCCTCTGTAATACCACATGCTTCTTGGTTTCTTTCTTTTTTTTTTAAAGCCCCAGGCAGTTGCTATGCTTTGCAATTTATGCTCCACCCAATTATTCAGGTGTCCTTTCTTTCTTTTCTCAGGACACTCTGCCTGTGAAACAACTCAGGGCAAGAAGCATAGCAATTCCACACACTGAATTCAGCATATAAACCACCCTATTACATAGGTGTTAAATAAAGTCTTGCCCAGACATGTCTGAAATGTAATAGACAAATGTAAAACGTAGAGGGGACACCAGAAAAGGAGGAAAATTGGGATATGAATTTTGTGGCTTTGACTTATTGCTGTAGAATGTTGCAGTCTGACATAGTAGCAAAATTACCCCAATCAAGAAGGCCACTACTCTGTTAAATAAAAAGGATCATTTGGAAGCAATGTGAAGGCATGCTAGCAATCTTCTTTGTACAGCACAATTGTCATGTAATAGATTTTTAACTCTGTAGTTTGAAAAGCCTATTGTTTATTTCAGTTGCAGTAGCCAATATACATGTAAAATATTCTTACTAAAAACCATTTACTTTGAATATCTATTATGCTCATCTGTAACTGTCAGGCTGCTGCTGGGCTTTGATTGTGGCCCCCTGGCTGCTGAATAGGTGTAGGTCTGCTTTGTGTCCAGGATTAGTGTGAACAGTTGCTCTTTTGGATCAGGTAATGAGACTGTCTGAGCCCAACCACTAAATAAAGCTTCAGGACTATATGAAATCTGCTGCTTTCAGTCTGTCAAATCAAGACCTGGTGGTTCAATATGCAAGTGGTGACATCTCCCAAGATTTTGCCTGGCATATATTGTCCTAATGCACTTAAAATCAAAGCAGACAAGACTAACGTCAGGGAGAAAAATAGCAGTGATGGTTCCATTTTACAGAGAGAAAAAAGTTCAAGATCCACAAACAGACTTGGGTACTTATAGGGGGACTTAGGTAGCATTTAGACACTTTAGCCTAAAACATAGATCCTCAACATCCCTTCTTAGCAGCTGCCTGATAATCCCAGAAACAACTAGAGTTCCATATATTTTCTGCATCCAAATTCCCTAGGTGCCTGAGGTCCAACTACTGCATTCTTGTTTAAAAGTTTTCTCCTATGGCCACAATTTGCTCAAAGGAGTGATACCCATTCTTTTCTTGAAAGAAAGTACTTATGCGACTACCTCCAGGGCAAGTTTTTACAGTGTGAATGCTAGGTGGTGGGGTTTCCTGGAAGCACAGAGTAAGGTGCTATGTCCTGGAAAGGGACAGGACACATTCTGCTTTTCCTGTTGTCTGTTTTCCCTGTTGCCTAGCCCAGGTGTTCACTGTGTTGCTTGATGTGGATTGCATTCTGAGGTCATCAACACAGATAATCCCTCAATTTGAGGATGATCTTTTACCATGGCTCATCAATGGGTCTTCAAGTGACTTAAGGGTCCAGTCCTTGAGCCACAGATCCATCTGCAGAAGTTGCAGGGGAGAGTAGGCTCTTGGGCACCACTCTGAGGTGCTCAACTCTTTGCATATATTGTACAACCTAGGCAACTCTCTATGGACTGCAGATTTTGCTACAAGGGCCAGGTGCCTACAAGTTAAACACTCTGATGCCTAAAACCCCTTTGTGAATTCAGGCCTGATTCCCTTGCCTGAAATCATACAGTTAAGACAGCTTTGCCTTTATCTCTACTTTAACAATTTTTCTTTGAGAAAGATTGATTTCACTATGTCCACTCCTTCCTAATGTAAGGGGTATTAGGACTTCCTCCATGTTGGGTTTATCAAGTGCACAATATTACCACCACCAATCAGAATATCTCAGCTCCCTGGTCTCTCAGGCTAGGTCATGTCCACTTGGGCCAAGCGGCATCTTATTGGCAGAGCAGAAGCATACCTTTGTTTAGGGCAAAGGGTGCTGAGGAGGGCCAATGATATTTGAACCCTGCCAGAAGACTGGTTTTATATGGCTGCTTCAGAACAGGGCCATACAAAACAAACAGAACAAATAGAAAGTTCAGAGGATTTTGGAGCTAGGCTTCAACAAGTTTTACCAAGTTCAGTCGGTATAGGAAATCTCTGTGGTTTGTCATTCAGTCATATCTGGACGCATTTCCTCTGGGATAGCTAGAAGCCCCCTTTTGGCCTCTGGCCTCTCCCTGTCAAATTTCAGTTCTGATTCCAAACATCCAAGAAGAAGCTTTTTTTTTTTAACTAGCCTCTCAAAGCAGCTGTACTGTTTCTGCTGGAAAAAAAACCAATGTAAGCAAGACACCAAACACTGAAAATTTTAACTCGAGCGTTTTGATTTGCAAAGTTGTAGGATTTTAAAAATAAATTAAATGAAAAGTTTTAGGTAACCTTTGAAGAGGGAGCACTTCCCCTTCTGTGATGAGGAGCTATACCTTTCTAAAGATAAATCAAATTAATTTTTAATGTAATTTAGCAAAACAAGTTATTTAAGTTAAATTAGCAAAAATAATTTTTAATTTATGTTGATTCCTCTAGACTATTAAAATTTCTTTATATCCACGTTAATTCAGCTCATTAGAGTAATGGTTCTCAACCTTTTCAGACTAAAAGCATCCTCCATAACTTTTCTGAATTTAACAGCACGCCATTTAAAAAAAATTCACTCATTTTTTGACTACAAAATAATAATATAGCAATTTTTCTGATGCAAAGAACTCAGAAAGCCCAAAACAGCTCAGATGTTTTGGTCACTATGGATTCCTATTGTAAATCTATGGGTTTATCTCATGAATCATGTGTTTGCACACCTAACAGTGCTAATATTGCTAATATCCTTAAAAGGATCTCAAGGCACTCCAGCTGAGAATCACTGCATTAGAACTATTGGAAGGCCAGTATTACATCTCTGTCAGGCACACATGCAAGACACAAGGAAATATTTTGGAACCACTTTTTACTGATGCTGATGGTTTTAACTGGTGCAAGAAGCCAAAGCAATGATCAGAATATTTTTTTTAATCTCTTAGGAGAGCTTATTGTCAGGCTTTTTACAATTGTACTAGCCAAGCCCAGCTGGGTCCTCATCATCTAATATTTTGTCAACTTTTTAAAAAGAACTCTGATTATAGTAACAATTGATGCAAAAAGAACTGATTTCTCCTGACATCTAAATTTCTCTCCTAATTTTAAATCTTAGTGGTCTAACAGTCAGACCATGTGTTGTCAGGCATATGGGTTGTCTGTTTGCTTTCAATATAGCTGAACTGCAAGTCTCTTTAGGCAGGGGCTGTGGTCTTGCCCTGTATATGTACAGTGTTTCTCAAAATGTGGTCTTAGTCCGTGACTGTACAAGACCAGCAAATTAAACGTTGCTGATTTTAATGACCATCTCCCTGGTTATTTGTTCTTTATATAGGACTTTATTTTTGTTTCAAAAACTTGGGGAGGCGTGTGGCACTTGGCATGATTTGTGCTCTGATCCACTGATATTGTTTTGGAAAGTTTTCACTTAGATATTCTCAGATCTTCAGCTCTGCCAATGGTATTTTTGAAGTACTACGAAGATCGATTCCAGGTATTCTGGATAGAGTAACTTTGCCATTCACATCACTAAACTCAATTATATCAAAAAGACCAGAATGAAGTAAATCCCATTCACAATGTGGAGGATTTATATTTGGTTTATTTATTAGGCAAGAAGCAGCAGATTCTTTTTGTAAGCAAATTACATTCCATAGAGTCTAGAACAGGGGTGGGCAATTATTTCAGCTGGAAGGCCACTTAATGAGTTTTGGGGATTTGTCAAGGGCCACATCCATCTCTCTCTCTCTCTCCTCTCCTGTCTCTTGCTCCCTCTCTCTCCCCATCTCTCTCTCCCTCTTCCTCCATCCCTCCAGAACCCAGCTGGACTGTAGTTTGCCAGGAGCCCTGAAGCTCAGCTGTGGACCCAAATGGGGACTTCTGCAGCAGCACATGGGAAGTGGCATCAGCTGTGGGCCCACCCAGCAGGTTCTAGTGCCCTGACACAGAACCTGCTGGCAATGTCATAGCTGATGCTGATGCTCACCCCATGTGGCAGCAGCTTCTGTCTGGGTCTACAGCAGGTTCTGGGTGGGGGCACTGGGCAGGAGCTTTCACTGTGCTGGGAGGGTGGCGGCATCAGTTGTGGGTGCCACTGGCAGGTTCTGCATTGGGGCTCTGACATCACCACCCACCCACTGCAATGGAAGTACTGCTAGGTCCCACAGCTGATGTTGCTGTATTGAGGGCTGATGCTGCTGGGTGGAAGCAGTCCTGCCCACCTGCCCAGCACCATGCAGTGGCCAGAGCTGCTAGCCACCCACAGGCCAGATCTAATAAGTTGACAGCTTTCCACCTGCAGGCCAGATCAAATCTGTTGACAGCCTAGATCTGGCCTGCAGGCCATATTTTGCCCACCCCTGGTCTAGAAGATGAAAACTACATGAATACATACATTAGTCAAGCAACATCATGAATTTATGCATCACTTTAAGAGCTGTATATCAGAATGGAACTTTAAAAAGCAGATTTTTTTTTTAGATAAATAGTAGAGAAACATGTTCAAAACTTTGGTGGTAGCATCAAGTCAACACATGTTCCTGTTTGTCACTTCAGTTTTATTCAGTCAGTTTTAGTCAACAACTTCAGTTTTAGTCAGCCAGTCAGGGCCTAGGATAGCCCTCAGCCCCCTCTGCTCCACCTCCACAAAGAAAAAAGAAAGAAATGAGTATTTCCAGTAACCATAAAGTATCTGGCATTAAATCCTAAATGTGAATCATTTTTTCCAGAACTCAAGCAGCTGAGGCTAAAATTGAGAAATTTTCTAACATTTCAGGCATCTAATTTTTTAAAGGCGCTTCAAACCAAGATTTCAATTTTGCAGGAGTTATGTTCAGGCATGAATATTTATAAGCAATCAAGTGCAATCCAGGTACTGGTCTCACAATTTGCTCATGCTATCAGGTAAATGTTTAAAATAGTAACACTTATTTTTAGAATGATTAGTTGCTGCAGAATAGGACAATTATTTATAGGTCCAAGATTTTGGCTGTAAAATTGGAAATGTTTTTTCAGCTATATGGAAAGCATATTTTCATCAGAGAATACTGAAAAAAGTAACTCACAGTAGCATATTAATGAGAAGGCAAAACTGTAAGGGTAAAGTATACTTATAGTACCATATTGATGATGGACTAATAAACATTTAAACAATGGTAATATATAAAAATATACGGTACTGTATTTATGACAGGAATATAAAAAAATTGTACCATGTTCATAAGAACAATTGATATTCAAATAATGGTATAATGAAATAAAATTCTGTGAGACTAATGAAAGTGTAAACAGTTTATCGTACTGGGCTTAGAATGAACAAAATTCATACAATGGTAAAATATAAAGAAAATATAGAAAAGTTAACACGTTAATATAAAAACAATACAATAATTTTACTGAAAGCAACCTGTATTCCTTCAAGACATTTCTGAATTAAAAAAATATTCTTCTCTTAGTGGGGGGGGAGAGGGGAGAAGATAGCCAAGCAACTAACAACTCTAGTTTTAGCTTTTTAAAAATCTTCATTTTACTAATCAGTTGGAGAATGGATCTTCTACTTGCAAGCATCCAAACGTGGGAGCCTAGCCAGGCTTTCAATGCTTTGGTAACATGACTGAGCACTGCACAGTACCCTGAAATACAAAGTCAAAAAATGCTGAATACACTCTAGCCCAACTTTCATCCACCCACGCACATACATACATGCATGCCTTTAATATATAACTCAATTCTGAACAGGTAATTATACTGATTGGTCAGAGATTATGAATGTTATGACTTTTCTCAATGTATACATCAGCCCTTAAAAAACCTCAAAATGCATGGTAATGGAATAAGAGTGCCTTTAACTTGCAGCAGTTAAGAACTGTGAACTGGGTACTTTGAAATTAGTTTTCCACAATTAATAAGCTGATTTCTTGTTGCTGTCGGCTGGCAATGATAGCATACAAAATACTAAACTGAAAATGGTAGTTTTTAAAGTGAATATTATGAAGTTTTGTATTTTGATAAACTATTTGAAAAGTAACATATTGGTCAGAGGCAAGGATTTCTGTGGGTAATGTGTTTTATTGGACCAACTGCATGGTTAGGCCAGAGATAGACAAACTTTTGAATTTCATCAGATCCTTTACCTGACGTGATGAAAAGGCTTGTCTAAGTCCATTTCAAACATGCACATGGTCCAATAAAAGATATCACCCACAAAAATCCTTGCCTCTTACATAATTCCTGGAGCATCATGGTTACGTCATTCCAACACTACCATATCAGTCACACACATGATTCATAGTTATTCACATAAACTCAACCCTAAAACTCTGAAAAGAACTAAAATTGCTTTAAAAAAAAAAAAAAAAAAGAGGATTTTTTTCCAGGTTTGTTTAATGTATTATAAGACTGTATCAGACAACTGAAAATAATGAAAATCTATTTTTCCTAAGACAATACTAAATGGTGCCTGAGTACAGTACTCACAACAGAGGGGTTGTAAAACTGATTTAGGCCATGCTGTGAGTCACCAACTCAGATGCTGAGCTCTCAATTTTCACTCACTTCCACCAGAGACACTCTGCTCTTCTGGACCCATGGTCCTGATTCTATAGTGAAACCTATCTAGAACCCCATTTTTCACTGCCATGAACTTAATCAAAGAAGTAGGTCCACTACCTTTACTAAAACTACTTTCATCAGTAAAACAATTCCTCTGCATATACTTTTTAGGATCGGGGCCTAAGTGGATGCTATGTATGTAGGTACGGTGAATATGCATGACAGTAAAATAAAAAGTGTTAGCTATACCCAAGCACCTAGTAGCTCCCAAATACAACTTAATATTCTAGGGCAGGGAAGGTAAGTTACGTGTCAGCAAGGGTTAACTTAATCATAATAATCCCTAAACTCTCCTCCAGTGTTTACCTAGACCAGCTAATGCAGTGGGTTTTCAGCTTGCGGTCTGCAGATACCTGGGGGTCCACACACTATGACTAAGGGGTCTGCAAAAGATGACTATGATCAATCAAAAGTATTTGAATACCTGCACTTACAATTCAAAGGGGTCCACACCTCCATCTGAAATCCTTTTAGGCATCCAAAAATGACAATAGGTTTAAAACCACTGAGTGAATGTATTAAAATACAGCTTGTCCTATCAATCTGAGGGCTTTGAAAGCATCAGTTAACATGAGTTAGCAAATAAGTATTAAAATCTGTATGAAGAGGTCAATGGAGCTTCCTCTGTGGACAGTGGGTTGCCTGAGAGGCATTCACAACAGGGTCAGGACCTTAAGCCTGAAGAGCCGTCCTTAGGACAGATCAGTTCTGCAAGGCAGAGCAGTCCTGACACAAAATTCCCTTGCCGCCCCAGTTTGGGTTCTCTTTTGAGCCAAAACTGCTGGCTGTGACACAATGGGCTAATCTGCACAGTGGTCCTGTGATGAATCAGATTCATTCTCATTTGTCAGCTAGCCCATGAGTTGCAGCTTTGGTCAACAAAAGAGATAGAGGGTTTCTCTCTCACTTATGTTTTCCCTATTTTGAAGGACTAAAAATAGTAAGGACATATGCTTGAGATGGAACAGTGTACAGAACAATTCACCATGTGCTCAGGGTTACAAGTAAAAATGCAGCCAACACAGTAACATCTTTGGTATTTCCTGGTTGCAGCAACAGCCTGATGACATCAGCATGTTCCATTCTGGAACCCGAAGGACATTCTACCCCATCCCTTCCTCAGAGAAGCAGCAATTGTAAGGTAGCGCTGCCTTCAAAAAGGTGAATGTTATTAATGATCAATAGTTTAAAGTACCAATTGATAATTCTACTGTTAACAATGCTTGACCAGTGGAAGGGAGGAATCTTCATTAATGATGTGGACACTGGAGTCAGAAGTGGACTGGCCATGTTCGCTGATGACACCAAACTTTGGGGCAAAGCATCCACACCAGAAGACAGGCAGGTTATCCAGGCTGACCTGGACAGGCTCAGCAAGTGGGCGGACGAGAATCTGATGGTGTTCAACGCCGATAAATGCAAGGTTCTCCACCTTGGGAAAAAAAACCCGCAGCATCCTTATAGGCTCGGCAGTGCTATGTTGGCTAGCACTATGGAAGAAAGAGACTTGGGGGTCATCATTGACCACAAGATGAACATGAGCCTGCAATGCAATG